TCTCTGGAAAGGACCAAAAAGCTGTTCTCTTGGATTTTTATGGGGGCTTCATTACACAGTCATGAGTGACTAGGTCATTGGCCATTGGCTGATTCAACCTCCAGGCTTCTCTCCTCTCTGGAGGTGCGGACAGGGAGGACTAAAATTTCAAACCCTCTAATCATTTGGTCCTCTTGGCAACCATCCCCCATCTTGGGTGGGATCCAAAAGTCCCCTTCATTAATAATAAGCCACCCATTTCACCCTTATGGCTCTGAGGTGTTTTCAGGAACTGTGGGTAAAGACCAAATATATCTGAGAAATATATTTTGGTCATTCGAATGGCCAAATAGATATTTCTTATAAATCATTGTATTGTGAAGGACCTCTGAAAATTCTGCTTCCATAGAAGAAAACTAACAAAAATTGTCAGGATCAACTTTTTCAGAACTCTGGAAATTAGTGAAGAGCTTGCAACAATTCAGGGAATGCTTATTTAAGAAAAGTGGCTTAATCCCGGTGAGGACAGCAAGCTTTGGGTGTTTTAACTTGCTCTATTCCCATTACCCCCACCCCCAGCTCCATGGTAGCTTTATTTTATTTTATTTTATTTTATTTTATTTTATTTTATTTTATTTTTTTATTGTTACATTAATCACCATACATTACATCATTAGTTTTTGATGTAGTGTTCCATGATTCATTGTTTGTGCATAACACCCAGTGCTCCACGCAGAATGTGCCCTCTTTAATACCCATCACCAGGCTAACCCATCCCCCCACCCTCCACGGTAGTTTTAAAAAACCAACGGGCTGCAGGGGCGCCTGGGTGGCTCAGTTGTTAAGCGTCTGCCTTCGGCTCAGGTCATGATCCCAGAGTCCTGGGATCGAGCCCCACGTCGGGCTCTCTGCTCCGTGGAAAGCCTGCTTCTCCCTCTCCCACTCCCTCTGCTTGTGTTCCCTCTCTCGCTGTGTCTCTCTCTGTCAAATAAATAAATAAAATCTTAAAAAAAAAAGCTAACGGGCTGCAAACAAGTCTAAGTCCTTGGAAAATACCGGAAAACTTATTGGTTCTAGGGATTTAAGGAAATCTCCGTCCAGTCATTAGGTGATCACTAAGCCAACTGACCAGAGACTCAGTATATAGACTTTATGGAATTAATTCAGTCACTAAACAAAAACAGCAACAAACATCTATAACAACAAATCCTGGGCAGGGGGGGAATCCAGTATCCACAGTGCCACACTGCATTATTTTAAATGTCCAGTTTTGAAAAAAAAAAAAATCACAATATAAAGAAAAAAGAGTGGCCCGTATAAGAAAAGAAAGATCAATAGATATTGTCTCTGAGGAAGTGCAGATGTTGGACTTACTAGACAAAAACTTTAAATCAGCTATTTTAAATATATTCAAAGAACATTAGGAAAACATCTAAAGAAATACAGAAAAGTATGAAAATGATGTCTCTCTCAATAGAGATATAGTAAGGAGATAGAAAAAAAATTAATTTTTTTTAAAGATTTATTTGTTTATCTGAGAGAGAGAGAGAGAGGTGGGGAGGGGCAGAGGGAGAGGGAGAGATGGTCTTAAGCACACTCTGCACTGACTTGGAGCCCAATGTGGGGCTCATTCTCATGACCCTGAGATCACGACCTGAGCCAAAACCATGAACTGGATACTTAACCCAGCTGTAACAGGTGATTCCCCCCCCCCATTTTTTTTTTTTTAAAGAACCAAATGGAAATTCTGGAGTTGAAAAGTAAAAGAAATGAAATGAAAAATTCACTGGAGGAGTTCAATAGCAGATATGAGCAGGCGGAAGAAAGAATTTGTGAATCTGGATATACAGATCAAGTGAGATGATCCAGTCTGCAAAACAGAAAGGGTAAAAAAAAATCAAGGAAAATGAACAGAGACTCAGAGACCTGTGGGACACCAACAAGCATAACAACATACACAGAATGGGAGTTTCTGGAGGAGAGGGGAGAGAGGGAGGGCAGAAAGAATATTTGAAGAAATAACAAAGGAATAAAAATAGTACACTAGAAAACATTTAGCACAAAGGAAGGCAGTAATGGAGAAACAGAAGAACAAAAAAGATATAAGACATAAAAATAAATAGCAAATGGCAGATATTAATCCTACCTTATCATTAATTTAATGTAAATGATTTAAATACTCCAATGAAAAGTCAGAGGTTGGCAGGATGCATTAAAAAAAACAGGATCTGACTATATGCTGTCTACAAAAGCCATACTTTAGATTCAGACCTAAACAGGTTGAAAGTACAAAGAAGAAGAGATACCATGCAAACAGTAACCCACAATAAGAACACATTCGGGAAATAAAACAAGTTTCAGGGGCGCCTGGGTGGCTCAGTCGGTTAAGCGTCTGCCTTCGGCTCAGGACATGATCCCAGCATCCTGGGATCGAGCCCTACATCGGGCTCCCTGCTCAGGCAGGAGCCTGCTTCTCCGTCTCCCTCTGCCTGCCTGCCTACTTGTGATCTCTCTCTCTTTCTGTGTCAAATAAATAAATAAAATCTTCAAAAAACAAAAACAAGTTTCATTAAATTCTAAAAGAGTGAAATAAGCCAAAGCCTATTCTCTAACCACAATGGGATGAATTTAGCATAGTAGTGATGTAGGCAGGCCTGGTCTGAGGACCCACAGGGGGGCCTCACAGGACCAGTCAGGAGGGCCCTTGGCTTCAGGCAGGATAGGAATCAAATGTGAGCCAGGAGGAAGTGAACACAGGGTTTACTAAGTAGTGATAGGGTCTAGCAGATGGAATGTCTGGGAGACTCGGAAAAGTGAGTCTCCCCATCCCTCAGGGCTAGGAAAGGGGTCCAGGGTTTGTGTTCCTCCAGGAATCCAGGGTAAAGATCAATCACAGGGAGTGTCAGCTGAACAAGAGGTGTTCTTCCATAAATCACGGAAGGTAGGGGTGTTGATGCCAGTGTGGGCGGAAGTTTGTTCGAAGCTAATGTCCTGGAACATGTTTGGGATCCCCTTCCTCTTAGATGTTATCAGGTGTTCTGGGGCCAGGACGAGACTCAGAGAACAATTCACTTCCTTGCTTCCCCCTTGGAGTGGGAAAGGAGCTTCTTTCGGTTTACCTAGATGCAAGGTGAACTATAGAGCGTGAGTAAATGGGGACTTTCTTGAGCTTCCTTGTCTCAGGGAAGAGATAAACGTAATGGAATTTGATAAACGTAAACTATGTTCCCGAGTCCTCTTCATTCACTAGCCCGTCTAGACTCTCAGAAAATTCTAGATATTCTGGCTGAGTCACCAGGCCACATCACCCACAAGAGCTAAGTCATAGGGTATTTCATAGTTTAATTCCTGGAAACAGCTCCATCCCTTCCCTTGGGAGGCAACATCTTCTGGTAGGAAATGTTTGGCTTCTAGAATGGGATAGGCTGTATGCTGGCATCTGTTGTTGTAAGCAAGTTATTTCATTTCTCTAAGCCTTGGTTTTCTCATCTGTAGCATGAGATAATGATACCTACCTTAAGGATTTAGTGTGAGGATTAAATGAGATACTATGCACAAATCTGATTTCCTAACCCCTCCTTGCCTTCTGCCTTCCTCCTCCCCAAGCAAACAATAACAACAAGGCAATACAAAAGAGAACAAATGGGGTTAAGGGTCTTGGAGGAATAGAAATAGGAAAACCAGGAATTAGAATTTTAAGCAAAGCAATCCTGAGTTAGAATCTCAGTTCTGTTTTGTATGAAATATGTGACCCTATTCTCTGGGCCCCACCTTGGGTGGAGAAATTACCTAAAAAAAAAAAAAAAAAATGGTGAGGGGAGTGTGCCTGGCTGGCTCAGTCCTTGAGCAGCAGACTGTTGGTCCTGAGTTTGAGCCCCACCTTGGGCGGGGAGATTACTTAAAAAAACAAAACATGTGATCCTCATCTGTAAAATGGACGTAATAAATTCTGTCTATCCTTCTGTTTGTAAGGATAATAAGAGATAAGGTATGTGACTTGTCTTGCACATAGTAGGTGCCCCATAAACGGTAGCTTTTACTTTTAGCGGTTTCAGATATTTATTTTTCATATTATTTTTCTTATTTTTGCTGCTCATCCTGTCCAATGCAAACTCCAGCTAACTCTTCCCAAAACCCTACCTCTCTTTTCTGTCCCCCATCCCCTCTCTTGAATACTTCTCCCCCTCCTGTACACCCACTTTTCCGGCACCCAGGCCAGGGGCACAGAGCTGAACGAACGAAAGGAAATCTAAATAAACGATTTTGAGAAAAACATTTGTTTCAAAATTATTGTGTGCGTGTGAGTGAGAGAAAAACCTTCGTTAAAACTGGGATATCTGCAAACCCCAGGAAAGTAGAACTGGAAATCCAAAAACAAAACAAAACAAAACCGCATGTTCTACTGGTTGGTATGGAAAGAAACGGCCAGCTTTTTGAGTGTGGGCCCAGGGGCTCTGGCCTTCAAGGACCCTACCCGGATGTGCCAGAGCGCAGCCGGGGGAGGGCGGGGGGAGGAAGGAAGGGTCTAAAAAGGGGGCGGGGAGGGGCAGCCGGTCTTAAAGGCCAGCGCGGATCGACAGCCTCGCGGGCGGGCGCGGAATACGCCGCGCGGGTCTAGGTGAGGTCTCCGCAGCAAGGCACTACCTGCGGGCGCGCCGGGGCAGAGGCGCCATCCGGTCCGGGGTTCTCCACCCGCCGCGCAGGTTTCCTCCTCCGCCGTGGGGGGTGGGGGGACGGGGAGCAGAAACCGCTGCGGCTCGTGGGCACAAACTGAGACCCCCGAGCCCGGCGCCCGCGCCCACCCGGCGGGGCCCAGCCGCTCCGCGCGCGCCACGACGCCCGGCGCCCCGGGAGCCCCCGGACGGCCCGGCCGGGCCCGCCCCGCCCCCACGTGACTTCCTGAAGGGCCGCGGGGCCCGCCCCTCCCGCTGCTCAGTTTCGTTTCCTCGCGGGCCTCCGGCTGTCGTTCCCCAGCCGCGGCCGTCTTTCCATCGCGTCCCTTCCCGTCCCGCAGGAGCGCCATGGCAGAGCTGGTCCCCCTGGCCGAGGAGCTGTCGTGCTCCATCTGCCTGGAGCCCTTCAAGGTGCCGGTCACCACCCCGTGCGGCCACAACTTCTGCGGCTCGTGCCTGGACGAGACGTGGGCCGTTCAGGGCCCGCCGTATCTGTGCCCGCAGTGCCGCGCCGTCTACCACGCGCGGCCGCAGCTGCGCAAGAACACGGTGCTGTGCGCGGTGGTGGAGCAGTTCCTGCAGGCCGAGCAGGCCTGGGCGGTGCCCCCGCCCCCCGACGGCTGGAAGCCGCCCGCCCGCGCCGCCGCGCCCAGCCCGGCGGACCCGGTGGCCTGCGACCACTGCCTGAAGGAGCCCGCCGTCAAGACGTGCCTGGTGTGCATGGCCTCCTTCTGCCAGGAGCACCTAAAGCCGCACCTCGACAGCCCCGCCTTCCGGGACCACCAGCTGCAGTCCCCCGTCCGGGACCTGATGCGCCGCAAGTGCCCCCAGCACAACCGGCTGCGGGACTTCTTCTGCCCCCAGCATGACGAGTGCATCTGCCACATCTGCCTGGTGGAGCACAAGGCCTGCTCGCCTGCGTCCCTGAGCCAGGCCAGTGCCGACCTGGAGGTAGGCGGTGGTGGGCGAGGGCACGGGCACCGGGAGGCAGCCTGGGCTAGGGGGTGCGGAGGGAGCCGCTGTGGGCATCGTGGCCCACCGCGGATCACCTGGGGTAGGAGGGTGGGCCTTGCTGGGCCTGAGAACCAGGGCAGGGGCGTCCCCGAAGTCCGAATAGAAAGGGGCAAGGAGAACATCTAGCCCTTCTCTGTCATCCGTGGTCCACCCTCTTCCGCCACTGAAGACAGGTGAAGTTGCCTGCCTTAAGCCTCCTACTTGTCTGATGGTGTTTAGTCGAGGGTTTCCAGCGTCAGGAGCCCTGGAGGTTACCTCTGTTCCCTCGTTAAATCTTGGCAGCATCCAAGAGGTGGATATAATTAGGTCCATTTTACAGCTGAGGAAATGGAGGTCAGAGAAGTTAATTTAGCCTGAGCTAACCCAGTAGGTGGCAAAGCAGGCATTGGGACCCCGGCTGGTTCGACTCTACAGTTTGCTGCTTTTCCCCATGACCAGCCTGATATCCGAGTTCATGGAGCATGGGACATTCCAGGAGGCTTGAGGTCATGTGAACAAAAACTTTTGGTGAGCCAGAGAGTTCTAGTGACCAGGGAGGATTGTTATGAGCAGAAGGGTGGGCAGAGTGCCAGATATCTCCGGATACTGCCGGCAGGCAGAACCAAATTCTTGCACCATAGTGACCTCCACCCTGGCTGTGCAACTTCGAGCACAGCATTTGGCCCCGGGGCCTGAGTCTTCATCAGTAAGTCGAGGAGGTGGGACCAGGTGGCTCCCTAAGGGGCCTTCCGGGTCTATGATGATGTTAGCGGTTTGGGGGAAATCATAACTTCCCTCGCGGACTCAAGGCAGAGGCTGAAAAGGTGTAATGGGACCACCTTTTTTATATCAGCCTGAGCTCCAGAGCATGGCCTGATTGCCTGTAATTCTCGAGGCCCTGTCGTGGAGAACAAGGACTGTTCTGTTGTCGGAGGAGATAGGAGGCCTGGCCGAGGTTTGCGGCGGCACCAGGACCCGGGTGCAGTCTGTGCTCCTGAGCAGCCTTAGCCCTTCCCGGGCCCCGTCTGCTTCTCCATCTGAGCTGGGTCCCTCAGGACTTCTTCCCTGAGTCTCAGAGGCCAGACCTCAAGGCAGTGCCTGAGAGTTGACCCCTGAGGCACAACCATGTCAGGCGTGGCCACCTGCGTCTCCACCTGCCTCCCTAAAGAACCCGCCAAGCCTTTCGAGTCAGAAAATGGCCCCGTGTCAGCTGTGGTTTAGGCCAAGTCACTGCAATTCTCCAAGCCTCAGCTTCCTCATCTGTAAAATGGGATTCATAGCATTCCCTCCTGATCTGCAAGGGTGCTCAGGAGGCTCCGGGGCGATGAGCTTGGATGAGGTGGGAAGTGCTTCATTAGGCAGATCCCTGCGTCAGATGGCTGGTTGGCTCTGACCTCAGGCTGGATGTTGAGACCTAGGTTTGAATGCTCTGACTCTGCTTCCTTGCTGGGTGAGTGCAAAGCACTGCAGGTGTAATTTCTGAGCGGCTTGGGTAGGAGAGAGCTTGCTGGGGCGGAGGTGTCAGGCTGCCCATATCTTCTTTGCCTCGGGGTGCTGGCGCCTGTCCCTGAGGACCGGGGCGGCTGGCTCCTGTCAAAAGGCTCTTCTACAAGTTCTTATCCATGGAGGCAGAAGGCAAGTAGGGGCCGGAGGGTTCTTCTCAGCCTGGCCTGGAGCTGGAGTCTGCACCCAGCGTACTTGTTTGTTGTACATGCTGGGCTTTGTAATCCTTGTAACAGGTCTGACCTTGCCGCCTCCCTGGTCCCCACCATTGTCCTGGCTTGCCAAGTCCTTCAATCAGCCTCCCTTTCTAGCCCTGCTGCTGCTCCCTACTGGGACAGAGCCAGCCGTATCTGGGCAGTGCCCCGGCCTTGGGCGGCTGGCTTGTCTTGGCCAGTGGTGCGGGGTGGACTCGGGACTCCGGTGCCTCCCACGTCCTCATGGAGGACTCAAGTCCCCAATCTGTGAACAGATCCTCAGAACTTCAGAAAGTTCTCTACCCTCAGTGAGGGGATTGTTGCCCCTCTTGAACTCCCTGGGCCACTTTCCTTTGTCTGGAGCCACATAGGCCCCTCTCTCTGCCATCAGGGGGCTGTCATATATACATTTCATTAATGGTGGACAAAACTTTCCAAAACACAGAGTTTTGGGGTGCACTGCTGAGCGCGGCTATTGGAGGTGGAACCCAGTGCCCTGGTGTTCTGAGTTCTCTTCCAGCTCCGAGGCCTGTGAGTCCGGATCTGCCTTGGCCTGGCCTTCTGCCTTTGGCCCACAGTTTATCTTGGCCACTTTTAAGAGGCCAGGTCGAAGGGCACTGTCACAGAGGTTGAATATGAAACATCACCAGTAACTTGGGGTTTCAGGGTCAAGCTAGTGTGACCTTGATCTCTGCTTCCATTCCCTTATATGTGACTGTCACTGGGTTGTTCACATTCAGATTCAAGGTCAAGTTTAGACCTGAATATCTCTAGTGGAGTGGGAGAGGCAGGGAAGTGGAGGGGGCAGGCTGGAGGGTGTTGTGCCAGCTCGTTAGGGGAAGTAAATGTTTTTTTCCTAGACGTTTCCTGTGTACTCAGTGCTTTAATTATAACACCGGGACCTTGTAACACCAGTTAACAGTGATGTGACTGTTCTTTGATGTCCTTATTATAAAGGACAGGTAACTCCCACCTTATAGTGTTGTTCTTCGCTTTAAATAAGTTAACACCTGTGAAGCGTGGCTTGCAGTTCATATATAAGAAACACTAGCTGCTATTATTCTGGTGCTGAGGGTTTTTTTTCTCTACCCATTTCTATGCCCCAGCATTTCACCTGAGCAGGGAGGGAGGACACTCCCATTATTGGTTCTGAAAATGTATAGAAATGCTAAGAGGCCTCGGATGGTATTATCTTCCTTCGTGCATAATTGGCCTTGGTTCCTGGAGGTGGCTAGGGACTTACCAATTCTCAGTGACTTTAATTCAGTTTCAGGGATTGAGCTGATGGGGGGCTGGGCTACCGCTTGTTCATCCTTATTCCTAGCGTGTATCCTGTGGAGGTCCCCACCCATGGGGCCAAACAAAGGAGCCTTGGACTCTTGTACCCCTGCTTCCCCGAGGTTGACAGTGACTCTTCCAGCTATCTTCCGGAATTGGCAGATGGTTCTGGGAGGGGAACCCCAGAGGCCAGGCTTATCTTTCTGGATTGCCTTCTCCCAGATCTTGGCTGTCATCCTTCCCTGCTTCGTTAGCTCTCCATTGTCGTGAAACAGATTTTTCTTCCCGGCAGTTTGCTTTCGTGGTTGTTTGCAGGGGGAGGGCTGACTCGAACGACCTCATCTGCCATCACTGAAGCAACCCCTCCAGCTCGTTCTCGGCCCCCTTGCTGGCCTCCTTGACTCTGTTTCATCGTCTGCAAAATGGGGGCTAATGAAGAAGCTCCTAATCATACAAGCTGACCTTTGGTTTGTCCTTACTGAAATCCAGGCACTGTGCTGAGTTCTCACGTTGTTTCAGTTAATTCTGCTACTGGCCCTGGGAGGTGAAAACATCTGTATCTCTTTCTTGGCCGAGGACACAGGTGACAGATGCTCGGACAGCTGGGAACGGGCTGGTGCCCTAGTCGGTCTGTCTCCAGATCCTATGCTCGTAACTTCTTTCTTGTACTGTTGCCCTAGAAGTTTGAAGGGAGGCAGTAAATAGGCGAATGCTTCAAAAAGCTACAGGCAGGCAAGACTCAGCGTGGCAGAAGCACGTGTGGGCTAGATTCCAGGGGCAGTCCCCGGTGTTGGGGGCTGGGCTGAGGTGATTCCTCATGCTGGTTGTTTTCTCTGCAGACCAAGCTGAAGCATAAGCTGACTGTCATCTACAGCCAGATCAACGGTGCCTCGAGGGCGCTTGAGGACGTGCGATCCAGGCAGCAGGATGTGCGGGTGAGTGACAGGGCTCTCCACTGCCATCCTCGGCCCCGGGCTCCGGTTGGCTTCCCGCACGGTATCGGGAATAGACATCCATCTTGCAAGACATCCAGAAAGCTATGTCCCCGGGAAAGATCCTTTGTAGACGTAAACTGAAGACTATCCATAAGCCCTGACCTTGGTGTGGGGAGGACAGGGGCAATCATTAAAAATTAGAGCTATAAAGTAGTAATAGAGGGGCGGCTGGCTGGCTTAGTTGGTAGAGCACGTGACTCTTGATCCTGGGGTTGTGAGTTCGAGCCCCACATTGGGCGTAGAGCTTACTTAAGAAAAAAAAAAGTACTGATATAAAAAGTGGTTATGATTTAAATGGGAAAAAAAAAAAACAGGAAGCAAAAGTGTATACCCACTAGAGTTCATCTATTTATAAAAAGGGAGTGTGTTAGTTTTCTAGGGCTATCGTAACCAATTACCACCAACTCAGCTTACTAGGACAGAAGTGTGTTCGCTCACAGTTCTGGAGGCCAGAAGTTCAGAATCAAAGACAGGGCCATACTTCCTGGTTCTAGGGAAGAATCCTTCCTTGCCTCTTCCAGCTTCCGGTGGCTCAGGCGTTCCTAGGCTTGTGGCTGGTGGCACTCCAGCCCCGGCCTCTGTCTTCACAGCCTCTCTGTCTTTTCTTCTGTCCTTAATAAGGACATTTGTCATTGGATTTAGGGCCCACGTGGGTAATCCAGGTTAACTTCATCTCAAGATTTCCTACCTTAATTACATCTGCAAAGACTTTTTTTTTTTT